CCTGGGTTTTCCTTTTACTCCGGTCGCTGAGAGTAAGCCTTCCAGGAGCAGCAGGCAGTGAGGAAGGTTAATGGGACATTGGCCTTCATGGGGACAGGATCCAAGTACAGGAGCAGGAATGTCTTGCTGTGATTGGACAGGCCTGAAGGATTGCGTGCGCGGTTTCGGTCTCTGTATCTGAGGAAGGATGTTCTGGCTACAGAGCGAAGGTCTCTCAGACAGATCCCTGGGATGGCAGGATTGACGTATGAAGAGAGACCGGATGGGTTAGGGGCTGTATCACTGGGAGTTTAGATGAATGAGGTTGGGGGGTGGGGGAAGATCTCACAGAAACATATAAAATTCTAACAGGGGTAAAAGCAGGAAGGATGTTCCAGATGTCTGGGACGACACCAGAACCAGGAGGACACAGACTAAAGGAGACGGGGGTAGGACTGGGATGAGGAGAAACGTCTTCACCCAGAGAGTGGGACAGCCTGTGGAATTCTCTGCCACAGAAAGCGGTCTGGGCTGAAATATGGGATGTTTTCAGGAAGGAGTTGGATATAGAATGAGGGGCTAGAGGAGGAGAGCGAGGAACAGCGGACTAAGTTGGACAATCAGCCACGATCTGATGGAATGGGGGAGCAGACTTGAAGGGCTGAACGGCCTACTCTTGTTCTTGTTTTCCATCATAGCGGCGTATAGCACGGAAACAGGCCCTTCGGTCCAACTCGTCTGTGCTGACCCAATATCCTAAATTAATCTAGTCCCATTTGCCAGCATTTGTCCCATATCCCTCTAAAGCCTTCCTGTTCATGTAACCATTCAGATGCCTTTTAAGTGTTGTAACAGCTGGATTCCTTTCCATGTTTTATCACCTACTGCCTGCCCCTCCTTACCCTGGTGTAGGAGGGGGACCTTGGTCTATCTCCTTCTCCGCTGTGCTGCCGGTCCCTGCTGGAGGGGCAGGGCATTCTGGGCTCCCACTGACTGCTGCTTCGTGGCTGGGCCGCACTGCTTGCTGGCTCCCCAGGAGGTGAGGTGCCCCAGCCGCTGCAGGGAGAGGCTGCATCTGCTTGGCTTCGCCTGTCGGGCCAGCCCGGGCCTGGCCAGCGGGTACCCCTGCTTGGACAGAATGCTGGAAACAGACCGCAAGCAAAACAGTTACCATCCTCAAACTCACTCAGACTGCATCACGTTTCAACGGAGGGAGTGGGCCTCCGGCTCGGGGGTGCGAGAATCGGTGGGTGGGGGGAGAGAGAGAGAGGGAGAGAACCTCATCTTCAGGTATGCCTGGTGCTGCTCCTGGCATGCCGTCCTCCAGTCTTCATTGAACCAGGGTTGACCCCCTGGTAATGGTTGAGTGGGGGATATGCCGGGCCGTGAGGTTACAGATTGTGTTGGAGTACAATTCTGCTGCTGTTGATCGCCCACAGCGCCTCATGGATTCCCAGTCTTCAGTTGCTAGATCTGAGCGAACTCTGTCCCATTTAGCACAGTGATAGTGCCACACA